GGTGCTTTTCTGGTCGTCAGACATGTAATACCAAAATGCCAAAAATGACATCGGCTTAAATAGTCTATGAAGTTTAAGAAAAAAGGGTGAATCTGTCCCACTCCTGGGCCTTCGCAAGGACGCCATCGAAGTTGTCTGATCGCTTGTAGAGGCTGTTCGGACCCTCAGTTTTTGATGGAGACCTGGCCCGTCAAAATCGGTGCCCATATGGTCCGCCTTGTCTGGAAAACAGTTAAGACTGAACGTGTAGATGTGATTTTGCTACAGCGATCATCGTTGCAGTCTTTTTTCTTCTTACGTTCCGTCACTTAAGTCACCGTACAATGAGGCGCATTCCACAAACCCAGTTCGCTCAAAAGTACGTGAGGGGTATTTTGGGGTTTGGATGAACATCGGCACTGATGTGCAGTGCCCGACGTGATTTGACGACCGACATTCTCAGCGCGACATCATGGCTGACCTGGAAACGTGCTCATGTTTACTCTCTGAAGCATATGTTAGAGAGTCCTCCATATTTCTTTGGGGTTTTGAACTGAAGTAGCCATCTTAAAGATCAGTCTGTGTAGTTAACAGCCCCGCCCATCTTAGGGCCTAAACCCCCTAGTTTCCGAACTGCGTACCCGCAAATATAAGGGGCCTTTTTCGGGGAGAGTTTTTCAAGATTACCTTGGCATTCGTGACGTCATAATGAAGTCCGTCGAACCCTGCTCCTCCACAAGCCGTGCGATGATTCAGGCCAGTAAAGATGTAATGGTAGAGTCGTTCATATCAGACGTTCCTGTGCACGATTTTCAGATATAACGGCCGTCGATTGGCTCTCAATGTTAGGCAAGATGCGATAATGTATCATGATGTACCAACTATGACGTATCGATGAGTATATTTAAGTTGTTAAGTGCATTTGCGAGGAATTTTGTTCACATAGACAAGGCAGTGGTTGTAGGGTTATTCCTCGGAGAAAAATGAGGAGAATAGAGATAAAGATGCATTGGTGCTTCGGCGACGTGCCTGTATCGAAACGAACAGCGAAGTGAATTCACTTCGGCTATCTCTCTGCAACGTACTGCACGACGCTTGAAATCTGCGCTTACTGGCAGTCGCTCCTTGGCCCGCACTTCTTAGTCACGCAGCCAGTCGCATGTTTCGTAGCCGGCCGGGGCATCGTGGCCCGCGAGACGGGCACTTGCCGTTGAGTGCTACGGCGGGGAGGTCGTGCGAGCCCACTTTGTCAGATGATTTTTTGAAATACAACATCACCCGACCGATGCCTTTGTCGTGAGTGGATGTGAAGGGAACTGAAATGAAGGAGAACGTGCGTTAAAAAGACCAAAATAGCCCTCGTCGCCCGGTACACGAATGCTTAGTGTTGAACTGTGGGCCTGTTGCGGATCAGGGAGAACCGTGATGACGACGCGCTGGATGACATGCAAAGTGAGAGCTGTGTACACCAGAACTGAGGCTTCTTTCGCAGAGGCAATGGGGTCCGTCGAGACGTGGTTTGATCAGGTACGCTTGGCACGGACGCCTCAGACGTGCCACTTAAATAAAGGAAGGTGTGGTTAGATCGGCAGAGTGGGCAACAGAAACGAGATGTTAAAAAAAGAAATTGTATACTGTTGGCGTGCTTTCATGGCAAGCGATACATCCGTCTTTGTCTCGCACCTCCAGCTCAATTAGGAGTCAGGCAGACGTTATCTCTATGAGACGTTACATTTAAGACTGAGTTACCAGACGGGAAGGGAAGAGGTTGTCAAGTATCATAGTGCGTGACAGTGGGGAAGGGAGGGCTGAAAACGGCCGTAAACGCGTAACGTAAGTTGTGGACGGCCCGGGAACACCTAAAAACCATCTGACCCGGAGAGCACACCGTGGCCGACGTGGATGAATGAGCAAGAGAGTGGTGCTGGACGCTAGTGCCGTCGTCTATAGGGCAGCTATCAGACCGACTGAGGACGGGATGCAAGACGGCGTACCGGTGGCAATATATCAGTCAACGCGAACCGGCTGGGCGGCGTATCGGCGACAATTAACCCTGCCACTAGCTAAGGTCGGTAGCGAGGAGTGGGCTAACTTGCAGTGCAGCGCGCGAGCTGGGGAGCTGTTGGGAATACATAGGTTTAACGAATGGAGGGTGCGTGATGGTTGCATTGAAACGCTGACTTAAAAGAGGGTGGTCACGCATCAGCTCACAAATGTAAACAATGTGTCGACGGGTGTGTTTCGGGCAGAAGCGAACTGAAGTTGACACGCGTCGAACAAAATAGGTTGAGTTGGAGAAACTTTTAAGCACGCATAATTAAATCCTCACCCGGTATATTGGGTGCTTCAGGGGTACGGGGTTCGAGTCCCTTCGGTGCCCACCGTTAATGCCAGAGTAAGGGGCACGTGAAGCCATATAGCCCCGGCAGCTAAGTGAGTCGTAAAGCAACGGTGATGACGACAACAACCTGCAAGCTATCTTATGGTACATACAAGTGTGATGGTTTTGTTTCCAGTTTAAGTCATAACTGTACCATTTTTATAAACTTTTACACAACTCTAGCCTTACTATCCAACTTTCATCAACGGCCAACTTTGTCAGCCTATGGCTCAATACGCTGAGAAAGAAACGGCAATTTGCAGACAGTGCTGGGCAGCGCGTCCAAATGTGCGTTAAGTGCGTGTCGACGAGTGGCAAGCAAAGCAAATTTAAAGTTGCTTGCCTTTTTTGGTATAGTTCCTCACAATGTTGCTTGTTGGTTAACTCGATTTTGAAATAAGATAACCGCTTGCGGTTCATCTTACCCAATAGGTGCGAGCAATATCTACGTTATGTAAGAAACACAACAAAAAGTTAAGTCGCATCACATAGAAATGTCGAACTGAAGGTAACGAGATGATCCTGTCAGATTTCATTTTCCTGAAATACGTGACTAATAAATATCATACGTCAGAGTCCCATAGACTTATTTAGAAGTTAAACACTTCAGATGAAATATTTGGAATACGTGTTTCTGTAAGCAAGTGACTGGTTTTAAAAACATTTAAAACTTCCAAGAGTATAGAAAAGAAGAAGAAAAAAAGGAATTTCCTCTAATAATGGAACAATTTTGTCCAATTTTTGCTGCGTTCATTTCCGTGCATGAATGTCTAAAATTGGCCCGTTTGTGGTGCCCTGCTGATTTGGCCCAACCTAGCTTGAAACGTCGACGTATCAATTAATTTTCACAACCGACTTCTTGCAGCCCGTCAAAATTTGTGACAATTAACTTACGGCAAGTAGAAATCAACGCATTTTTAAAGCGGCATGGTACATTTTGATATCAAACGATAAGGTATTATTAAGCTCATAACTCGGCTCCCTTACAAGATGGAATGCCGCAAATGGTTTCGATCAAAGGAAGATACACAGCGCTATCTTTGATAGGAAACACGAGGCTGACGTACTTCTTGGACGGCGCCGAAATCGCGGTCGAGTCCACCGAGAACCACCTCTGGATCTTCGTGGATTACCGGTTCCAGTTCCACGTGCAGGCGGCGGAAGCGATCTACAAGGCCAACCAGATGCTGGCGGTGGTGAGGCGGTCTTTTGCCAATATCGATGCTCGCACGTTGTCATTGCTTTTTAAGATCTTAGTACGTTCGTGCTTAAGAGTATGGCAACGTCATCTGGGGCCCGTTCGGCAAATTGGACCAGAAGCGGCTGGTCATCTTGGCCGTTTTACGACCTGACACGGACACGCTGACAGTCGGTACGGATCCCGTTGATGCGGTCGCGAGCGTAACCGCAGAGGCAGATGTCTCATGTAACTGGCGCGCTGCGGCGCATCCTAGAGATGTGACCCGTTCTGCCGCAGTTGTAGCACGCCCGATCCGCAGCCATGCAGCGGTCAGATCGTGCATGCCGGGTGCCGCAGTTTCTGCAGGCCGGGCACGCAGAGTCCATTTCTCGCTCGGAGGCGCCCCCACCCGACGCTCGGCGGGGACGGGTGGGGCTCCGCGACTGGAACCTGACACCGCGCGGAGTCCTGGGGTCCGAAGGGCGGCCGACGCACCGGCCGACCGGGGCGCGGCACGCTGACACGGCGTCGGCCTCGCCGCCGACGGTCTCCGTGACGTCACGCGTCGCAGCCTCCTCGGAGCGGCAGATCCGGATTGCCTGCTGCAATGACAGGAGTGGGACGGCGCACAATTGGCAAAGTTGGCCACGACTGTCAGGACCTAGTCCGAGAGGCACGGCCGGGGAATCGCCAGCTGCAGGGCTGGCGGCCTGCTACTCAAGTCCGACAACATCGCGTAGTCGTCCCATCTCTGTCGCCACATACGATATCTCACTCCGCGGTCACCGGTCATCCCCAATCGTTCCGGTTTGACATCTTTTGCCATCGAGTCTGGAACGAGACGCGTTCCCCGGGGCACGGCACTAGTCACAGGGTCGTTTATGTCTTCCGGCAGGGGAACCGAGGCGGGATCGATTCCCACTGATCCTGTCGGCTGCGCTATGTTCGAGTCTGTCTCCGCGAAGGTTCACACCAGTGGGCGGTCGGAACTAAACCGTATTTCTGTACTCCGCGAGACGCTCTGCCATCTACCGTTCAGTCTGGATACTACTACTCGTGCGCTATACTCGGTACTCGCGCACTGACAAGGCACAACTCGGAGGTGAGGCGAGGACACGAAAGAAGACTTAAAGAACCTCGAAGTAGGACTCTCGTCCGTCGTAACTCATCCAGCACGCGGGTTTTCAACGACTGGAACGCTCTTCCACACCCACTCGTGTCGTCAACCTCAGTTGAACAGTTCAAGTCTAAGCTTAAACAGTCCAAGTCTAGGCTCTGTTCTAGGGTCTTGGGCTTGGTATGCACTGGACTGACATGAACGACGTCCCACACTGACTATTTCCATAATTTGAGACTGATTGGTTACCGGACCTGGAGCCTGACGAGACTGGGACGGGCAGGCCTATTGGCCCGTTATAATTCCTGATCACCATAAGGTAAGGTAAGGTAAGTCATAAGAGGTAGTAGCCTTAGGCATCTTGTAGTGCAACCATAATGCCATTGGAGTTTAGGGCACATACAGAGGTTGCTTAGTGGACTGGGATGTTTTGTTGCTTGAGTGGGAATGTAGGGTTTATTACAAAGTTTTGGAAGAATTCCTTCATACCAGTGCATCTTGTGGCTGTTAAGAATATTTGTGTAACAAAACAATTTAATAGCATTTGAACAGCAATGCATTTTAGCTTTGGGAACCAGCTTGATTAGAACATAATACACAGCTAGTGAAGATGTTGAGAGCACCAGAAGGTTCACTGACATTCACTGTTAACTGATAGCTGACTTTTGACTGTCAACCACCTTTGGGGCTTTTGGGGCCTTGAGATCCAGGCCTTGATGGAGGGCAGTCTTCCAGACACCACTTCCAGGCTTCCTTGTAGCAAAATTAGGAACAGGGTCCTCTGTCTGTAAGTGCACTTATCCAGGTTTCACATTCTGGTACCTTATGTACTTTTAGTCATAGCTTTAATGCATTGTAAAATGTGACCAGCATGTGTTTCAAGATGGAGTAGTGAGGCAGTGTTTTCTCAACAAGTCAGTGTTGAGAACTTTTTAATGTGACCACCATGGAAAGAACTTGCCCAAATAGTAAATGGGCACTCTGCATGGAATAAGTCCCACATACCCAGCCTTATTGAAATAATTTCAGTCCATGTTGGCTGTACATCCAAGTGGTGAAAGTTAAGTGTGCAGTGGCCACAATTTTTAGTTGGGAGCCAATATTTCAATACCTATAATCTCATAAGGGTTACTTCAGGCAGGCATGCTCCAAAAGATTTCCATGCAAAAAATAATGCAAAATTCAGTGTTCAGTTGATGGGTCAAGTTGAACTGAGAATTTAAATTGACCATCTAAGTCAAATGAATGCCAGCACAGATTCACTGTGCCAATGCCCTGTATCAAGGACTGTGCATGACACAAGCATGGTAAGCTCAAGATCGATGCAACCCTTTCTATACCAGATGTGCTCCAATCCTTTTGCCAGTCATGCAGACTCCTGAATGCATGTCTAAGTTAATGTGACTCATGGATTATTGGCCTCTGGTGCTCAAATATATTTTTGACCTAGGCTAAGTTACCCATTTTTGCTTTGGTTATTACTGTACTCTGATTTCATGTCAATGGTCAGCCTTTTATGGCATGCAACAGTAGCAAACAAATGGTTCTTAGTAGTCCGCTCATGTAGCGCTCCTGGTATGTAGACATGCTATTAATTACATCCCCTAAGGTTATCTTTCAAACCTTGTTTAGCCTTTTTTACTTTTGGTTCTTCATTTCCAAAAATGAATGGGTCTCATATTGTAAGCTGTGTAGGCCTCCTCTATGCAAATAGTGGCCGGTCTTTCAGAATACTGGGAAGAAGAGGCTGAAGCTAGTAGAATGTGGGAGGCTTGCTGGCAGGCCATCTTCAGCCATCATCTCCTGGTGCATGGATTGGAGAAAGGGGTAGTATCTGCACTAAGACATTTGTTTTCACTGTTGAGCCTGTAGGTCTTCATATTTCTGCTCACAGAATCACCAACATGGTGAGTGTTTCCCTCCAACTTGAGCTCCAGCCCCCTTCAATCAATTTGGAGAGGAGGGTGGACCAAACCAAGGGAGAGGCCTGTTTGTTGTCATTTTGGGATAGAGGTTGCATAGCTCTTGGCTGCTCATGCCCCCCACAACTGTTCTGTTGTTGTGATAAAGGCTTGCTTCTGATTTGATGTCAACTATAAAGTGGATTTTGACTGGCCTGAATTTGGTGGAGCCATCATGCCTTTGGCCTTTCAGCCTTTGGCACATATGCTGCTGTTGAGGATCCTCCTGATGAGGATCTTGTAGTTTGCCAATGGTGACCAATGTGTGCATTGCAGGTTATGCCTGACAAGAACACTGGAAAGTCATCCAATCATCCAGGTGATGGAATTCGAAACGTGAAGACAACCAATGTGTTCAGGGCTGTTAATTTTGAGCTCTATGCTAAGCCAGTGAGTAAAGCCTTGGTAAATCCCTGCAGCAATAATATGTGCAATATTTGCAGATGTCTTATATTTGCTGATGAAATATGTGTACTTTTTTAATGTGTTTATGATACCAGTAAATCATTGTACCTGTATTAAGTTGGTATAAATGCTGGTCTTGTTTTCGAGCAAGGTCAGATGTGGCAACCTCTCCCAGCAAGGAGAGAAAACCTTTGCCTGAAGCGGCAATACCTTTGTGCTTTACAATATGATCCAGATTCCTCAGTATTATTTGGCCAGCAGGCCAGAGCAAGCCATCCGATAGCTTGAAACACTTGGGCACCAATGTTGAGATCATGCAGGAAGATGTGTTTACCAGGACTTTGTTGCCAATGTCACTTGGTCAAACCATGCATGAATAAACTTGTGAGGTAGACTACATTTGTGAATTAATGATACCAAGGACATCAATATATATATATATATATATATATATATATATATATATATATATATATATATATATATATATGCATTGCTCATAAACCTCAAAATTTGGATGACCAGTTGACTATTCTTAAGACAAACTTAGAGACATTCACACACCCAAAATTTTCAGAACAAAGTGGTAATGGTCCTGGGCAGTGCTGCCTTAGCTGGTTGCCTGGGCTACATCCTGTACATGAGATCGCAAGCCGACCTGAAGAATAACTACCTGGCCGAGTCCGAAGACGGCCAGCTCCACATCACACCAAAGAGGTCAAAGTGGGACATGTAAGACGGTGGGAGCCGCCGCCAACCATCATGGGGGACGTGCGCCAGAGCGCGAGCTCGCTGTCCGGCTCCACGTCCATGGACGAGCTGCGGAGCTTCATCCGGATCGAGAAGTGTCCGCTGTGCGAGCGCACGGCCAAAAACTTCTACTGCCGCCTGTGTGTGCGCACTGGCGACTTCGGCCACTCGCGTGACACCTGTCCGACGCGCTTCGCTGACCGCAAGCTGCAGCTGTTTCGACTAAAGCACGAGATCATCAACTACGCCATCGCCGTGGAGGAGGCAACGGCGCCACAGCGGCAGCTAGTGGAGCGGCGCGAGCGGCAGGCGGCCGCGCGCCGCCGCCGCGAGCTGCTGCAGGGCGCACTGGCCGAGCGCACCGCGCGCGTGCAGCAGCTGCGCGCCCAGCTGGCCGCCACGTGCCGTGCCAACCGTCAGATGCGCGAGCGCCAGCCGCGCTTCTGCGTGCGGCTGGACGAGCTGCGCGAGCGGCACGCATCGTCGCACGTGAGCACGCGCCGGCTGACTGAACGGCTGGAGATCGTGCAGCATGCGCTCAAGGGCAACGTGCGCGGCAACGTGCGCCAGCTGGTGGCGGTAGTGTTCCCGGTGTCGGAGGTGCAGCCGCGCCCGGGCCTGGGCCGGCCGGCGGCCGCGCTTACGGCCACCGAGTCGGCGCTGGCCGACGCGCAGAGCCTGGCGTACGTCCGTGGCCGCTGGGTGCACCTGGAGCACGCGGGCGAGCTGCAGTACCGAGTGGTGGCGCCCACGCTGCCCGGCTCGGGCGACTACTCGGCCTACCACGTGTGGGCGTCTGCCAACCAGGAGCAGGCGCCAGCGCCGGCCGCCGGGCCAGCCCAGCCCCGTGCACAATCTATCCGCCGCGCTTACCTACACCGCCCAGCTGCTGAGCGTCCTTGCCTTCTACATGGACGTGCGGCCGTGCAACCGGCTCTGCTACAGCGAGTTCTGTCGCTACGAGATGTCCGAGCGCGAGTTCAACCACCGCGTGGCCAAGCTGAACGCCAACCTGGTGGGCCTGTGCTTGCACGCGGGCTGTGTCGGCAGCGCTGCTGGAGCCGCGCCGCACGGCCGCCAATCTGTGCCTGCTGCTGGTTGCTGACCTGGGACGGCGCGGCGCGGTGCGTCCGCCGGACGCGCTGCTCCGCTCCATGGAGGATTCGCTGCGCGCCGACCTCGACTTCAACGACCCGCTGGAGACGGCGGCAGAGCCGGCTGCAGGGACCGGCCGCTGCCGACGAGCCGGACGAGGCCGACTGGGAGCAGGTGCCGAACGAGGTGCCGGGCGCCGGCGAACTGGAGGGGCCCGGCTCGGCCAGCGTCGCCGCCGGCCTCGTCTCCACGGCCGCCGCCAGCGTGGCCTCGTTCCTGCGCGGCTTTAACCGGTAGGCGGCGATCGAGACGACAGGTGACGCCAGTACCGTTGTGGTGACGGGTGTGATTTCGGAGAGATTTTGGATGCGAAAGCGCGGTTGCGAGCTGTGGCTGTTTGCTGAAATACACAACTACCGGTGTAAAACAGGTGTTACCTGTCGCTTCTCTAAGACGTGTTGTGGCATTTGTTACCTGATGGCAGGTTTCTTACGGTTGACCGTCGTCTATCACACTCCCGCAAATGCGACGCGAAGTACCGATCAAGGATGCCGATAATGACCTGACAACACGCATTACCTACTTATGGGGTATGCACAACCCGCACACGTCTTCTATCCCTTACGACACCTTTTTGATAACATGTCTATTACGATACTCTCGACACACAAGCACATCATACCGAAAAATGCATTTTGGTCGAAATTTTGTAGGCGGAACATTGCGGTGAGGACGCGTGATTCTATGAGGCTAATACAGGCATGAGACGACGAGCGGCACCACGCGTAGTCCAAACAGGCTACTTGAGCTAGGAGTGCGCAACAAACAGGTACAAGGCCACCAGGAAAGGCTACCCATTGCTCGCCAGTTAACGGCGTTATGCCGTCGTATCGTGTCACTACACGCCTATTTCCCCAACTATGCATGAACTTGTCCTTAAAGCTGAAATACATAATGCAATGAGCGGCCCGACAGCCGTTGTGGGCTCGGCATCCGTGGTCAAAGCGCAGTGTGGGACAACGGACTAAACGGTCATCCGTGCTCACCCTCTAAACCTGCAGGCAAAAGACGTACACATACAACAGTGTTATTCCATCGATTTCAATCACTCATCAATGCGACCAACACCGCAAAGCACCCTGAAAGGCATCCGTTCCACAGCCCCGCTCTGGGGTCGGAAGTCTGACAGCGGCGCCGAGCCCGTCCACCGGCCGCACCCGAGTATCGCAGCTGTCCAGCGTGATCTAGTGACCTGAAGAGGTAGCTCGTGGCAACCTCAGAGCGCCTCTAGATGCCCGTGCCCTTTCCTCTCGGAGGTCGGCTGTCTCACTGGCGTCGACCGGCGAAAGAGGTCGCGCCAGCGCCGATACCACCTCGTCTCGGTTCTCCAGCGCCTGGCCGGAAGGCCCTCCCAGTCAGCGCGCCGGCCGGCGGCGGTGTGACCAGCCGGGTGATAACATTAACCGGTCAGGTTGGGCAACAACACCACGGGGCCACACAAGTCAATGGAATACCACCGACCACAGATCCATGGGTCAGGGCAACCATTTATCCAGACCCAGAGCATGTCATTGGGTTACTTTGTCGAGTCAACACACATTTCGGCTGGTCACTTACTAACCATACAGCAGCAACAACAATAGCAGCAGCTCGGCCACGCACACGCGCACCGCTGCTAGCCGGGCCAGATCGGGCCATACGCACCTCCTGGCAGTCGGCTACTACCTGCTCCACCCTGTCGATGTTGACGTTGCCAAACGCGCCGCGGGCGGCGGCCATGCCTCGTGACAGCGCGTCAGTAACCTGGTGACGGACAACACGCCCGGGAGTCATCACAATCCGCCAGGCATTCACCGGTCCGTGATATCTGTCCACCGTCACAGCAAATGAACTGCACACAGCCTGTTGAAAGCATTCCTCGTCCTGATCAATCAAGAACTCTTCGAAATTGAATATGCGATGAGGTAGATGAGTGATCAAAGCCAGCGTAATTCCACCCTCAGTGACGTAAAGGGGTGATGGGGGTCACAGTAAAAATAACTAAATACATAAAATGATGAGGGCAACACAGCGACAACTGATACACAGCCGCCAGTCAACAGAGCTCGATGAGCACCCATGCCATGCAGCTAATGGCAACGTGCCCGCTTCTGCCCCCCCCCCCCCCCACCCAAAGGCCCTAGTCCTCGTCCAGCGCGACCGTAGCATGTCTGACAAATAATTTTACCAGCCCGTCCTGGGTTTTCCGAAAAAGTCATCAGCAAGTGCGCCCAATGAATTAAACGGCTCGGTTGTACCTGCTCATATTGCATCGCCCTTGCAGACAAACAACGCATTTTTTATTCGGCGAGGGTAAACCTACTATATGCGCTATGGTTTGAGGTGGCGAAGCCAACATAAATATAACTCGATGTACTCCACAATCCCGCCCCTTTTAAGACCTTGGCCCTTCTAGATTCTAGGTCACACGCCCGCAAAGATGTACAGGCTATTTTTGGAAGACCATTTCAATGTCACACAGGCATCCATGACACCATAACTCATTCAAATCCTACCATTCCATTGATCTTGCGCAGATCAATATGAAGAAAACTATGATTGTCGAGTCGTTCATATCTGGCGTTCATGGTCACGATTTTCAGACAAAACGACCGTCAGTTGGCCCTTAATCAACGTTGTGCCAGACACGATTACATCATCAAACAACGATGTATTGAGGAGCATATCAACTAAACAGAGAAACTCTGCCGTCTAGCCCAGCGTTTTCCACTTCAAAGTACCCAATAACTATAAGTGAGCTTATAGCACCATATCTGATGTTTGCTTCAGTCCCTTGAATGTGGAACGTTCCCTTCAACAATTACTCCACTTGCTTTCCATAGCCCGCATCTTCATATCCGATAGCCCAGAAGGCATTTTCCTATTTTAAAAGGAAACGCGACGGCAGCCTGCGCATACCTCATTATGGAGCACATGCGACAACAGAAGCCGTGCTAGCAGGAGCAATGGCGCAACCGGGACTCAAACCCGCGCCCCCAAGCGGGAGCCGACAGCACTCAACGCATTGGAAGAGTGATCAATTAATTGGTCAATGGTCACTTACTAACCATACAGCAGCAACAACAATAGCAGCAGCTCGGCCACGCACACGCGCACCGCTGCTAGCCGGGCCAGATCGGGCCATACGCACCTCCTGGCAGTCGGCTACTACCTGCTCCACCCTGTCGATGTTGACGTTGCCAAACGCGCCGCGGGCGGCGGCCATGCCTCGTGACAGCGCGTCAGTCAGTCCAATATGACGGCCCCGTATAAAAGAAGAGCGCCTAGTGCTAGAAGTTTAGCCGCAGACTTCTAGCTTTGCCATCCAAGACTTGCCGCCATCTGCTGCTCAAAGTTGCCTGAATCTATGATGCAAACGGCATACGTTTTTTTACGGACAAAGCCCTGCACATCGAAGATGTTGCTGACAGGTCGGCCCATACCAACCAACCAGTCGTCCGTCCAACCAACCGACCGTCAAACCAACCCACCGTCCAAACGCCCAACCAACCAACCGTCCAAGCACCCAACCAACCAACCAGCCAACCAACCAATCAACCAACCAACCAACCAACCAACCAACCGACCACCCAGCCAACCAAACAAACCCTGCTTAAGACTGGGTTGATCTGGAGACTGAAGCATGGCAAACCGACTGTAATGGAAGGATGGCGTGGGCACCAACCGACTCCCCATGAGTGATGTCCCTTAATTGTATCGCATTGCTACGTTGATTACATGTTTACTTCACCAAAGAGCTTAAGCGGGAGCTAGTTATATTGAACACTTTCACATCTGCCTACTAACTTAGCCCACCTTTTGGTTGTATTTGGATTCTTCAATGGTGTCTAGTATTTCTTGAACGTTGTCCACGTAGGTGGATTTCTGTTCAAGAGACACATTCATCTTTTTCCACTTGCGGAGTTTTTCGTTCGTGAGTTCACGATGGATTCGTCTCGCTTTACCGCCATACTTTTCCTTCAGCTGTTCTCTAGCCTTTCTATAGCCGGTCTCAGATGGTCTGTAGCCTTCTGCGAGCTTCAGTGCTTCACCGGCCAAGCTGTTTTTTCTGGTGTAATATTTTTAACTTCGGGTCCATCTCAGTGTTTCCAGTGAATACGTCGAAAGCAGCTTCCCAATCTTCGAATTTGGCTACATTTCCTTCGAACACTGGCAGCTCCGGTTGTTTTATTCCTTTCACTGTACTGACGGTTTCATTTTTCGTCTTTTCTGTATCATAGTTGTCCTGTTTCTTTGATACCATCACCGTCAGGTCGTCACAGGCGGCGGTAAATTGATACGTTTCTTCCATAAATATCGCAGCTTCTTCGTCGGACTAGGATGTCACAAATGTTTTCACTAACTTCCTTTATAGTCTTCAGTTGGTCCTTAAGCTACTGACACTTGTGTTCAATGCAACTAGGTCCTTCATCTTCAGAAAATAGTTCTTTGTTCTCTTTCTTTAGCTTAAAAGCCCGAGCTTTGTACGCATTCCGTCTTCTTTTTAGCTTCGGTTCGTTCATCCTCGATCCGGGTCACATGTACCAGATGTTGTGATATGTCCTCGTGTTGTGTTTTACATTTTAATTTACCTAAGCGCTTAATAAGTGAAGTTATCAAGCTATAAAATAACTTAAGTGCTCTTACTATCAAGGACACGACAAATTCTTTACTTCATCTCCCCAAGACTGCTTTATTTCCTTCTTAAAAAAATAAGCCGTCGCGCGGGCAACGCGACGCAACGCTCGTGCACGACACAACAGATCCTTCTTAACAGCTAGAGACACCAAATTTACAGGGTGTCTTGACCTGTGCGTGAATTCAGGTCAAAGTCTGAGCTTCCCAGGTCATGACCTTCAGGTTCCATTAGGTCAAACAAGGTCCAAATTCCCAGGTCGGTCTCCAAAGTGCCTGCAGAACCTAGGCAACTGTTTCTAAGCAAAGGCCAAAACCCATTTGAGGTGAGTTACCTTGTTCTAGATCCGCTATTCGATTGTCTGCGGCTATGCAAAATTTGGCGCGGCTACGCTGCGCCATTCGGAAAATATTCTGGGAAAACCTTTGCGGAGGGGGGGGGGGGGGGGTAATTTGACCCCCCACCTGAGCGCTTGTTAACTGGCCAGTAGTTCTTACCAGTGTTTTAGGGAAAGCTCATACCTCACCATAATTCACCGCATCCTTGGAGCGTGGACGTAGCGTGTGGTCAGGCCGTACACCGTGCTTGGCGCCGTGGTGGGGGTTGGAAAGGTATGGGGATTCGTGTGCTAGGGAGCGTTGTCCGTGATGCTCTAAAAACAATTGGTGACATCACTTATGTGCCAATTTCAAGGAAATCCACGATATTACCAGTCTTAAAGCTTCTCAGCAACTCATTGAGGCTGTCTGGACCCCAAACACGGTACCCGTTTTTACTTATTGTAGCACTGCCTGGTCTGTTTGCACCCTGTTCCTGTTCATGTTGGCATGTCCCCTCCTGAACTGATTTTGCATCATCTATTTTGCATCTTGAACTTTTAATATTCTTCAAGGCGACTTGAGCCTGTGGCACCTGTTATTGAGCTCAACTCATAATGTGTTTTATGGCTTGTTGATC